AAATAAAATGAGAACTAATAAATAAACTGAAAGTCAACCATCTGTTTGTTATAGCGTGCATAAAGTTAACACCACAGAGAAACATTTAGTCTGTCACATGTTCTTTAGAAGGATTTTAAATCACTAAATCAATAATATTTTGCCACACAAAATATGTTTACCTGTTAATAATTGCATTAAGATTTAAATATAAAGTTCTGTCGTCAGGGTTTTGATGCCACATGAACGAGACAACTTTACCACAAGTCGTAGAAAAACCTAAATGTTGGCAGCTGTAGTAGTTAATAGAAAGGAATTCTTAACTGCGTACTTTTGGCATTGAGCACAGACCCATAAATACATTAAACCAGTACTGTAATTGCATTTTTACTGTAAATTCAGAACATCGTGCAATGGGGTAATGCAAAGCTTTACCTTCAGATGCTGATAAGAGCATCACAGCAGCCAGGGTGAGGACACAGATCCAACGGCTGTCAGAAAGATTCATCCACATCTTTGAACTCTGCAAAGCTGGTTCTGGATCTCAGCTGCAAACTGTTTCGTCATTCAGCTGTAATAATGAGTGAGCCAGAGAAGCTGGTGATCATCTTATAAAAAGCGGCTTCATGCTGAAAGAGGAACCGTTTGTTGCTACTTGCAGTGTTTCCGGAGACACACCCTGAACATAGTAGAATTTGTAGATCGTGCCCATAAGTTGTTCAGGTGTGTCTCTCGTATCAGGGTTGATCTTGTTCGTTAATGAAGCAGCAGTTTCTCAATGTCACTGCAGACAGTCGTACTTAACTCAGGTCAAAGCTGATCTACAATGAGCTCTTCAGAACAATCGTCTTCATTACTATAGTGAGACGTGACAAATGCTAAAATACTTAATTTTCTATATTTGATGTGCTTTTTATTTCTGTTTCTTCACTTCCATTACATCTTTGCCCGTTAAATTTTCCCACTGCGGTGTGATTCAGCAAAAGATATTATTTATGCAGAGCATTTGTGCCAGATAATTAGTGGTGATCAGATCTAATCGGAGAAAGCTTTATGGACAAATAACAAACCAGTTTTTGTACAAAAACATTGCCGGGAGATTGTTTCGGTTAGGCGACGAGAACTGGTTCCAAAATTCAGATTCTAAAGGAATCATTAAGAAATTCTAATTTTGATCCAACTTATTGATTCCTAAACCAATTTAACTTGTCCTAGTTTGTAATCAACATACTGCAAACAGCTACCATATGTTGATCTATCTGCACCATTAGCCATGTGAACTGAATGCCTGCGTGTCTTTCCGTCTTCTGATAGACTTGTTTTAATAAATCATGAGCTCAGAGTTATTATTAAAGTTCTGTTACTGCCCTGATAGCAACACTTTATTGTGATTTTGTGGTATTTCTCACCTAACCAACCAACCAACCATCCAACCAACCAACCAACCAACCATCCACCCAAGCACCTAACCAACCAACCAACCATCCACCCAAGCACCTTACCAACCAACAATCCAAGCACCTAGCAACCAACCAACCAACCAACCAACCAACCAACCACTTTACTAACCAAACCCAACAACCAGCCAACCAACAAACAATCCAAGCACCTAACCAACCAAACCAACCAAACCAACCAGCCAGCCAACCAACCAACCAACCAACCCACCCACCCATCTCATCCCATTAAAAGTACTCAATGAAGAAAAAATATCTTTGTTCCATTAGATTGTTATTATTAATGTATTCCAGTAAAAGCAGGACTTTGCTGTTGTGGCAACCCAAGTCTCGCTTGGTTTATATTACTACCATTCTACTGTAGGTGGCTATAGGAAAAAAGTGATCTAGCTTGTTTGTATTTCTTTAAACCAATCAAAATTATCCTGAATGAAAAATCCATTCATTGGTGTTCCCCTTAAAATAGCGACAGATGGAATGATTTTTTGGTGGAATAATTGCAGCACAGGTGTGAGCACTGTGATTGAAATGGATAATCCATCATAAAAAGCTAGCATAGCTGCCTTACAGCACAATCTAAACCCGCTGCAGAACTTTCTGGAAATTTCTGGTGCTCTGTGCCTGCACCCTATATTTGTGACTGTAGTGTCAATAACCACCTGCCCTCAAAGAGTGAGAATAACTGAAATACAAAATGCACCCAGCCCTACCTGTAACACCTGTTGGTTGATGCATCTGCTTCCTAAGAAGTGGATTTAAACAGCTACCTATGTTGTTATGCTTAAGTAGAAGAAAAACATATTTTTTTCTGAGTAAAATATTTTGCAAACATCAAGTCTGGATTTACTCAATGTTGACATCAATGCAAAACTACAGTATATAATTGATTGGATTCAAGATTCAGCAGTTTTCATTTGTCACATGCTCATGGAGTGTGGACAGTGAAATTCAAAAAGAATTCAAACTGTAGCCCCCATATACTGATCTGTTTGTCTTAACTTTATAATGGGATAAAATCTTACTGTTGTGCTCTGACCTTGTTCAGATGTGTCCTAAGTTGCCAAAAAAATCAAGTAGTGCAGAAAGACTAAAGAAAGGGAACTACTACTATCTAAAGAAGCTTCGGTTTCTGCTCCCGCCATTACTTGAGAGTATTGAGCCACAAATCCAGATGTGAACCTTCTGATACAGATCTCACGTTTGCTACCAGTTGCTCAACCTGCCAACCATCTAACCATCAGTGATCTTGATCTTATACTGCAGCTTCATGCAAAAACAGGAACCGTTGAAAGTTTTTTTTTCTTCAAGTTAATTCTCCATAGGTGATGACTGTGCATACCCACAGAAATGGACACACCGGTGTGTTCTTCTGCCCTTATATGTCCTGGTTTGTTGTGCATTTCTTGCTTCTTGGCGCCAAAAGTGCTACTCAGTCTTTGTAAACAGTTTTGTTATTGGGTTTATAACATCTCAGCTATCCGTTCTTGTCATGCACAACGTTCCACCGTGAAGTTCTCCTTCTTGGTTTGCGTGTTTTCTCTGAGACACTTTTATCCACTTCCTGTGTCTGAGGGGATTTTGTGCTCTTCTCAGATCAGTGTAAATTGAATATGTTTGGTTTTTGGACTGTTGGCCAGACTGAACATGTGAAAACAACTCCGTGGACTGTGGGACACTTCACCCAGACACTGAGACTAAAACCTCTGATAGTCATTAGTGTTACGCCCAGCGTAGGGGTACTTGAACGCAACATGAATGTGCCATCCTTCTTCAGTCTTAAGCAGCCACAACACAGCAATTTCACAGCAAAAGTAATTATATATTTATAATAAATGTGATTTTGACACAAAGGTGATGGTTGACCAAAAAACAACTTCAAGGTGATGTATAACTTAAGATAAGAGTGAGCTCTACCAAAACAACAACCAAAACGACACTAAACTATGGGAGTTCCAACTTACCTACCAAAATAAAAGACGCAACATTAAATACAAACTCTGGCCTCCCTCTCTAACTTAAACAGGAGAAAACCGTTAAAGCAAAAGCAGCAGCTCACTCCATTCATACAAGACTTTACTATATACAAAAACGCTGAACGTTGTGCGTGTGCCGGTTGGGATGCCGCGAAGGATGGCCCCGCCCATCTGACCCTCTCTGCACACCGGTGAAGTCCTGCTTCCGTATTTAATACCGGAACTTCCGTTGGTCGGCCAATCCAGTCCTCGCTCCGGCGCAGTCCTGTTTATGTGTCTAATAGGAACACAGTAGCTAACACACACATCAAAGTAGCCAATGACGTATTCTATACAAATACGACCGCAGTCGTAGTTGTAGTAGTAGTTAGGGGCCGATGTTGTAGAAACACCGTAGCTCGTGACTGTGCTCACTGGGCGTGGTGATGCATTTAAAGCTTTAAGGATTATTTCGCTGTATTTCCCTTTAATGTGTCTAATTGGACTCTTCCCTGAATTTCTACGATGGAGATGGAGCCACAATAACTGACGTGATCATCACATAGCCACCCAGTGTTTCAGCATTTAAGATGAGCATGTGTGATACTGCCAGGCTTTATTTATTATCGCATTTTTGGTTCCCTGTGGTGGTATTTCTCTACAACGGTGGAGGTATTGTTGTCTTGAAACTCGTTCCTATAGCGTCTGTATTCACATTTTGACCCATTAAGTCCAGAAAGTACACAAAAATCCTATTGGTACTTCATGCAGTTATATTTTGGATGATAATGTGTGAGGGCTGCAAGGTGGCTCGGTGGTTAGCATTGTTGCCTCGCAGCAAGAAGGTCGCCGGTTCACGTCCTGGTGAGGACACCCGGCATCTTTCTGCATGGAGTTTGCACGTTCTCCCCGTGCAGCGTGGGTTCTCTCCGGGTTCTCCAGCTTCCTCCCACAGTCCAGAAACATGCTGAGGTTAATTGGTGATTGTAAATTGTCCGTAGGTGTGAATGTGAGTGTGCTTGGTTGTCTGTCTCTAAGTGTAGCCCTGTGATAGACTGGTTACCTGTCCAGGTGAACCTGCCTTCACCCTGAGTCAGCTGGGATAGACTCCAGCCCCCCATGACCCTAGTGAGGATTAAGGTGTAGAGATGATGGATGGATGGATGATAATGTGCATAGCTTTGTTTCAGCAGTTTGGGTTTGGCTAATTTAACATGGCAGCACTTTAATGAACAAAGGAAGAAATGGTTTTGTGACTCTGTGCAGCACTTATTTGGCCTCAAGCACAACCTGCTGGGACAAGAACTACCTGTGGACCTCGAGTCACGAGAAATAATTGCTGAGGTTGTCTGTAAAATTAGGAAGTAAAAATGTCTAAACCACATGAGATCCTGAGGTAACGCTAACCCCAAACTGGGTTTCATACTGTATAAAACTATAATTAACCAAAGTGAGCGTATCGCCTCTTTGTTCCTTTTGTCGTCTGCTAACATCTGATTGTCACTTCATTTATCTATAAGTTATATTCCCCCACTGAAACGGTGAATTTGATTTGTGCTGCCAGTCACACCAGACAACATCGCGTATACATGGGGAAATAAAGACACACAGATTGGCTGCATTTCACATTTATTTTGCGTTTTAAGTTCTGCTCCATTAATGCTGTCGTCCTTAGCTTTACAAAATAATGCCACAGACTGGTTTAAAAGCACGCCTTTATTCTTATCCTGATATTTTCAGGAATGAAACAAAAATGTAAATTAGCAGGAAACGTCGAGAGCCGCTCCTTTGTCTCCAGGTCTGGCTTCAGCTGCAACATCTCAGTCTTCAAATCTCCGTTTGAAGGCGGACGGACATTTTAGGTCTCCCTGTTCAAAGAGAGAAGCAGAAATGTGTTATTGGACTAGATTACATTAAATACGTTCATGGAATTTACCGCATGCTTCATTTGATGTGTTGTTGGTTGCAGAGCCTTCTCAAACACTTATATACCTGCTGAAAGGGTTAAAGTTCAGATGTTTTTACCCAAAACACACTTAATCGTACTTCTACATGAGTAATAATTTGACTCAGAACAGATTCTTTACTATGTTTACAGCTTTATTTTTTTTTAAATGACTCCCCAGTTTAAGACGCAGAACTTCATCAGTCTCATAGAAGAGTCATATTTCTCTATTTATCCGAGTTTAATGTCATAACAACAGAAATTTGACCGCCATACAACAGGAGAATATCTAGTTACAGCATGAAAAACGTCTTCATCAGACTTTATAACATGAAACTGATCTACGTTTTGTTTTCTGGTGTCGCAGTTCCACTTCAGAGAACCCAAACTATCGCTCTAACGGTTACCGAGTGGATTGCAGCAGCACTTTGTAGAGATATTAATGTTTTCATTAATTGCAATAACTCCAGTGGTCCTTTAATTTTTCTTGTAGCGCCACCTTCAGGTCAGTCAAAACCGGGGACGTCCCCGTCGGCCTCAGCTGACCGTCACGCGCAGAGCTATTTAGCAAAAACTAGCACTGCTAACATGCTAAACTGTAACAGAACATGTTGTGGAGTATGTTAGCATTCTGGAGTTAGCATTATCTCAGACGCAGCCGTTTAGCGCCACCAGCATGTCTGTCTGATTCTCACCTTCTTTATCCTCTCATTGATCCGCTTGTGTGTCGGGCTGATACACTGCCATTTAGTCCTCGAAAGCCGAATGCTGGAAACAAGAAAAAAGAGAAATAAAACATTTTATGTGACCCGCTCCCGTAGCAGTGAGGAGTAGCACAGCGTGTTTGGTTGTGTGTATCATGTCCTTATATTTGTGTTTGATGCTGTTTTGGTGCTTACACAAAGGCCTCGGCGCAGCCTCCTTTTTTTCTCAGTTTAAAGCACTCTTGGATTCGGCCGCGTATCTTGTTGTCAACTTCATAACAGCAGCTTAGTTGTAGAAAATTAGAAGCTGTGACAGACCAACACACACACACACACAGGGAGAGATTGTTAGTTGATCAGGGTGCAAGTTCACCATTTGTCTTTGTTTTCTGATTCTCCCGCTCTGATAACAACTATTAGAACTCCTGCTTATGACAAAACACCAAATCGTCTTAAATGGCAAATCTTCATATTTGAGAAGCTGGAACCACAAAACAAAACTAAGTTAAGATACACAAGAGCAACAATAATAATACTGACAATAATAATGATGGTGTTTCAGAAGATACCCAAACATGTAGTGATAAAAAAAAAAAAAGATTTGATTAAGATTAAAGAGATGTTTTTAGACGACTTTTTTCTGTCTTAATGTTGTACTCTCAGACCCATGTACGCAGTATAATGAAAGAAAATCTGTTGAGCATGAAGTTTCCTCTTCATCGTTTACCTTAAAGCGCCACCTAGTGGAGGGACTCTGCACAAAAACATATTTAAAAGACACCGGCCTCATTTCTCATACTAACTTGAACTTGCAGCGTGTTCTTACACAGAATAAGGATTGTGGATTTTCCACCTCTTACAAGCTCTTGCAGCTCCTGCATCCAGTCCAAAGTCCAGAATCAATCCCGTTTATATGATTACAGCTGAACAAACAGGAGCTCAACCTGCTCAGAAGTTAGAACATGGAGCTCGTGGACCAACATCCTTTTGCCTGGAAAGTAAGTTTAGGCTTTAAATCTCCAAAACTCCAGGCAGCTTCTGAGCTCCTGTCACACTTTTACTCACTGTGGGCTATTTTTTATTTTTATTTTTTTACTGCATTTTAACGTCCTGCTCTTCTAGTAGAGGAAATTCAAGAGGTTATAATGCAATAAATCATCAAAAAGAGAAAAAACAAAGGTTCAATTTCTTTGATTATTTTTTTTTAAATATATGTACCAAAGTTCTAGAATCAACGTTTTTCTAAATGCCCACAGGTTTTACCAAAACTATAAAAAACTGAACAAAACAAAAAGCAGTGTACTACTACATAGTACAGATGCTTTACTTTATGTTTTTATCACTTTTACAAGATAATTTTTCAGTCGCATCAACAGCTGAGCTGGGTTGCGTCGAGGAGAATTTTTTTCCAGAATCTGATGCGAAGAGTTTAATTTTGGGGAATTTTTATTTGTGACATCCATCCATCCATTATCTATACTCCGCTGAATCCTCACTAGGGTCATGGGGGGCTGGAGTCTATCCCAGCTGACTCAGGGTGAAGGCAGGTTCACCTGGACAGGTAACCAGTCTATCACAGGGACCGTTAACAAATGACCTCGGCCAAAACTCAATGACTTTACATTTATTGCTTGTAGTGCCACCGAACTCACATCACACATCAGTGACCTCCCTCTGGTTGTAGTGCAGCACATAGATTGGGCTTTTATATAGTTTCAGGGACTAGCAGATACTATCTTGTGCGCTATGGGATACTGGAGGGTTTTTTGGGGGTTTTTTTTGCTTTGTAATTTTTCGCTTAGATTTGGTTTATTTTTGAGACCTCACATCTTTTAATCTAAACAGTTTCTGGCTCTGATGGATAATTTTGTTTATTTTTTTTGTCTTTCTTTTTTCTTTTTTTTTTAACTGTCAGAATGAACGAACCAATACCGACCGCCTGCATGCTGGAAACATTGCGCTGATCTCAAAATTAGGATGTTTTTTACTTTAAGTTTGTGCATTATGTGGTTAAGTTCAATACAAACAGCCTTCTGAAAGACATTGGACATCTGATATCAAGGCAGTTTGATAATTCAGACTCTGACAGGTCTAAAATTATATCTTGTGTTTAATGTTTAGAATCCAAAGTCTCGAATTAGTTGCATTAAGGTCCAAACTACGATCACAACAGAACAAATCCCCCATAAATGAGCGTTCATAAAGAGCCGTACCTTCTGACGCTGAGACGAGCATCACAACAGCGAAGGAGAGCAGGAAAATCCAGCGGCTGACGGAGAGATTCTTCCACATCTTGGCAAACCGACTCAGTCTGGATCTCTGCTGCGAACAGCTTCTTCACCAACTTTCGTTCGACTCGTCAGACTCCGATGATGTGCGATCTTATGTAGTGCAGCTTCACACGAAAGCAGGAACTGCTGTGGTCATGCACAGTGTGCTTTACTGACATCATACAGAAAGCAACACATCTGCAGCGTTGTGTTTTACCCGCCTGTATATTTTTAGGTTTCTAAGGTATTTAATGGCAAGGTCCCTCCTCTAGTGTAATGACTTCAGTGACACATTAATCTGCATGATAGAAAAATGCACGCATACGCCCAAGTACGGCGATATTTTGGGCAACAGATGACTTCAACAGTTTGTGGTCGATCTTGTTCGGTCAAAAATTATCTCCAAAATTGGTAAATCTGTAATATTATTAGTTTATTGTTAGTTATGTTAAGTACTTATAATACCATAGTGTCAAGCTTTAGTACTACTGGTGGCCAACAGAATTTACAATATTGATATTGTCACAATATCCATCTGGCAAATTCTTCTTTTATTTAGTTTATTGTGGATTTTGTCCCTTTTTTTTGGCAAACAAAATAATTTAAAATATGGGTGAGATGGAGAGAAAGTGCTATGTACAGTTGAAAGCAGAAGTTTACATCAAGATGACTATGCCTTCAGACTATTTGGAAAAACCCAGATGATGATGTCATGGCTTTGGAAGCTTCCGATAGCCCTAACTAACCCTAACTGACAACATGTGAGTTAACTGGAGGCACACCTGTGGATGTATTTTAAGGCTCACCTCAAACACGCTGCTGCCTTTTGTGACAACATGGAACATCTAAAGAAACCAGCCGAGATATCAGGAAGAGAACTGTGAACCTCCACCAGTCTGGTTCATCCTTGGGTACAACTTCCAGATGCCTGAAGGTTCCACGTTCATCTGTTCAGACAGTTCTATCAAGTATAACCACCATGGGAATGTCCAGCCATCATAGCGCTCAGGAAGGAGACGGTTCTGTGTCCAGAGATGAAGTGTTTTGGTTGAAATGTGCGAATCAACCCCAGAACAGAAGCTGAAGACCTTGTGAAGATGCTGCTGAAGCTGGTCAGAGAGTCATTATCTACAGTGGAACCAGTCCTGTACCGACATGGGCTGGAAGGCTGCTCAGAGAGGAAGAAGACATCACTCCAGAAGAACCATAGAAAAGACAGATTACAGTTGGTAGATGCACACAGGGACAAAGAGCTCCATCAGTGGAGACATGTCCTGTGGTCTGATGGAACTAAACCTGAACTGTTTGGCCTTAATGACCATCGGTACATCTGGAGGAAAAAGGAGGAAGCTTGAAGCCTGAGAACACCATCCCAGCTGTGGAGCACGGGGGTGGCAGCATCATGCTGTGGAGGGACTGGTGACCTTCACAGAATAGATGGCATCATGAGGAAACATTGTGTGGAGATATTGAAGCAACATCTCCAGACATCAGCAGGAAGTTAAAGCTTGGACACTAATGGGTCTTCAGATGGACAATGAGCCTCAGCATAGCTCCAGATTAGCTACAGAGAGGCTTCAGGACAACAGAGTCAGTGTTGTGCAGAGGCCATCACAAAGAGCTGATCTCCATCCTGGAGAACATTAGTGGACCTGACTTAGTTCCACCAGTTCTGTCAGGAGGAATGGGCCAGAACTCATCAGACTGTGGAAGGAAACCCAGAACGTTTGACCCAAGTCATAGAGTTTAAAGGCAACGCTACCAGATACTGAGGAGATGGATGGAAACTTCTGACACTGAAGGACGTAATAAAAAAAGTCTTTCTCTCATTATTCTGGTGTTTAGCAAATAGAAATAATGTTGGTAATCCTATCATACCTGAAACAGGAAAAGTTTGATCTGATTTAATGTCAGACAGTGAGAACAAAAAGGTTTTATGTCTTTTCATACAGTGGATGTAAACTTCTGGGGCCTCATTTATCATCAGTGCATAGAAAAGGTTCTAAATTCTGTCGTACGCATGAAATTCAGAGTGTGTGTACACAGTGTTGATAAATCTCACGTGTTCTTAACCTCCGTGTTTGTGCACGTCGCCTTCAGAAACGCGTCCAAATCACCGTATACGGCAACAACACGCCGCTTTATAAAGCAGGTGAAGATTTATTTTTTCCTCACCTGTCGTCATCATCGTGACACAAAGGGAGAAAAAAGGAACTTTTCTGAAACTGAGATCGAGGTGTTTGTCAGCGAGGTTGCAAATAACCAGAAAATATTGTTTGGTGCGTGAAATGTTGGGATGAGCAGCAAAAGGAAAAAAAATGCTGCATGGGACAAGATAACCACCGCAGTTATTTCTGTTGGGTCAGAGGAGAGATCGCTGGCAGCATTTTTAAAAGTGATTTGACGTTAAGCTCAGTGCCAAAAAACCCGTCGCAGCCCATGAAAAAGAAATGACTGCAACTGGAGGAGGACGAATTAATACCGAACATTCACCCAGCGGATAACTCTGATCACTACAGATGACATGTTCTGTTCTAAGTCCAGCTAAAACTTCTCACACTCTGTGACACTCACCAATAAGCCAGCCGTCTTCAGCAGCTCCTGCTTGGAGACCCACAGAACTGTTCTGCTCAATGAATGAGTCGTGTTCCTCCAAGCCGCCGGACAACAACGTTGGATAGCCACAAATGCGCATCGCAACTGATCAGTACGTTGATTGAATGAAACCCTTTTCTATTTACAAAGTTAAGCTCGTTTAGTGATGCTGTTTTGACTGTGATGTGGGTGCAGTCTGTGGCTCCACTTATGTTTGGGAATCCAGCGACGGCGTTAAGTCCCCGTCTGATTTGGGCTCATCGGTGATGGCTGTAAGGGAACTGGATGTGGGCTGGGACCAGGGGAGTTATGGCATCCAACACTGCCGGCTTGATCCTGCTCAGCGGTGGCTGGAAACGCCTCATATGTCTCCAACCTCACGCTGGAATGTACCGGTGGTCAAAATCCCTGAATGCTTTCTATTTGTAGTTTCACTGTTCTACCGCTAGATTATGTGCGTACGCATGGTCAGAGGTGTGTGTATAGTTACACACATTCCTAAATATGAGTAAAAGTTGCTAAATTCCATTCTTTGCGTAGGAATGTTCGTCGGCACTGATGATAAATGAGGCCCCTGACATGATGAGCACTAACACAGACCTCATCTTACTTTTCCTTAAGCAGTACTTCGCATAAGTGAATGTAGTAATAACAAAGAAAAAAGCCAGTTTTCATGATGTAGAAAAGCCACTTTCAGACGTTCAGCATGTGTCATATGAACTTACTGGCATGAATGAAGCAGCATTTTAATGTTGTAGCTGGTTGTTATGAAGCTAATCTAAGTGCTTTGTATGCTGTTGGGGGGTTTAATCGCTAATTATTATAACTTTTATAACTTTAACCAGGTCCCTCATTGCTCTCCATTAAAACAATGTGTTGACTGGAGCAGCTGCACGTGATCGTTTAATTTTGCGCAGAAGAAAGAGTCACATGACGCGTTACACTTCCCCTTTTATGTGAACACACACTGAGTATGGAGCAGAACGTCTGAGCTAAAGAAAGTCTGGATACGTCTGGTTCTGGTGTCGTGTTCCAACCTCTGCTTCCTTCTGCCCACATAGTGTCCAGTATATTAAACAATCAGTGGCCAAATTAGTTGGACGTGTTTCCCTGTATAGCCAACATTATGTGCCTTTAGTTTTTGTGTTTTACATGTTCCAGCACTTTCTATTAATCTGCCTCAACAAATGCATCTGCTTTAGGCCTGTTTGTCATTTGTATCCTCCTGTTTCTGCTAAAACAGGCGTCGTGCAATCACTCAAGAGGGAAAAAAACAAAGAAAAAGACATTTTAAATTCATTTATTATGCTCTTTTGACAACAAGTCGATAACAACACCACAAAAACAGATTTCAAATTGAGGTAAAATAATAAATTACTTCTTCGAAATGGCCTTCGGAGTTCAATAAAAAAATAACTTTTGTCTTAAATAGTCGTTTATGCAAAAAGGAAATAAATAGTAAAGAGGCAGAAATGTTGTCAGCAGCTCCGTCACGCTTCTTCAACCAGCAGGACCTCGTTCAGCAGCGACAGGTCTGGAGGACAGTCCAGCTCTCCCTGCAGCACGGACGAAGAAAATGTGCAGTTAGACAAGTTCAGTTAGTTTTTTTGTCATGATAAATCGTCTGTTTTCTTGGGTTCTTCAGATCCTGTGACATGAGTCTCCACTAACTTCACATCTGCACACATGTGGGGGGAGAGCTTTGTACCTCTTATATTTATTAAGATGATTTCCATTTAGTGAAAACGCAGCAGTTTGTGGTCGACCTGTGTACCTCACATAACACAGTGTGTTGACTTTGCGTAATGTAGTAATAAAATACACAAAAAAAACCTTAAAATATCAAAAGTCAGAGTTCTCGTGGTGCAGAAAATCCACTTTCAGACATCACGCGGCGTAAACTGTTTGTCTCGTTATGCTTCCTAACAGTGGTGTTGGTTGTTGTGGCGCTAATCTAACCGCTTTGTATGCTGTTGGGTGGTTTGATTTATAAAATTCGTCACATTTTACTTGTTAAAAAACGTAATTTAAATCTGCAAATAGTTCGTAATTGAAACGGTCAAATAAATGAAAAAGTAGCGTAGTAAAAGTTTGTTTTTTGTTGTTGTTTTTTTCAGGTACCATTTATATGAGAATACTTACAGATCTTTTTTACATTGGCCTTTTTATCAAGGTTAAAATATATTTCCTATTGTGGAGTTGCTGTTTTCACGTGTATCTTACAAATGTTGGCGACATGTTTTCATAATCATGTAGAGGAGACAAACGTGCACATATAATATCGTGGCTAATTAGGGAAAGTGTTCTCTGATTTCTTAACATTATTACTTCAAATATCAGTCAGAACAATCACAGTTAGGAAGCTTCAGTTCCTCCATTTCTCGTGTTATTACATGAACACACCATCGATTTCTGTAGCTTCTCTGGTCCAGACTTCATCAGGACAAATCAGATTTCGTTGCAGATTTAGCTGCAAGTTAAACTTCTGTATTTTCTGCAGAAGCTCATGACAACATTTTAGATGTTCTGCAAACAGTTTGGTTTGTTCAGACCTGCACGGTTCGTCATTTACCCTCT